CCGCCCCCGGCCCGACGGGGCTCCCGCCCGCCCGGCCGCCGCGCAGCGGGGCAGAGCCCTTCTCCCGTGTCACCGAGACACCGGGGCCCGGCGGGGCTTCGCCCCCCCCAGCTCTCCTGACCCTGCTGCGTGCGAGCGGCCGCTTGCCTCGTCCCGTGTGTCCGCGGCGCTGCCCGGAATCGAGGAGCCCCGGTGTTTGGCAGTAAGCTGCTCCCCGCCTCCGCCGCAAAGCCCTTCCTGGCAGGGAGAAAGGAGGGGAAGTGGCAGCTGCCTTATCACTGATTTAGGGAGACAATGAGCCCCCCGCTTGCTGTGCAGAGCCGCGCGCCGCGGGCAGTGGCATCTTTTCCGACCGAACAGACATTTTGACCGGCACATTTGTATAATCGCCCAGAACTTCTATTTGTTTTTTTATTTCTTTAATGAATCCGGGCTTGCAAAGCGGCTGTTACTCAGCAAGGGCGAGTCACGTGTGTTGCGTGACCGGGGCTCCGCCGGTTTCGCAATGCTGCCCCCTCGCTTCCCCGCGCTGCCAGCCCGGGCAGAAGGGAAAAGGGCCCGGGAAGTCGGAGAAGGGAGGGGGGGTACAGAAGTCGCTTCCCCCCCACCATATAATGACCGTAATAGACGGGAGAAATGGTCCTCAATCAGATGTGTCAGACACGTGCAATGCTGGGATGGAATAACTGCATGCAAAGATACAGACTGGGGAATGACTGGCCAGGCTGCAGTGTTGCAGAGAAGGACCATAGGCTGAATATGAAACAACAGTGTGTGCTTGTTGCAAAAAGAGCCAACAGTATACTGGGGCATATTGACAGGAGCGTTGCTTTCAAATCAAGAGAAGTGATTCTTCCACTCTGTTAGCACTGATGAGGCTTCACCTGGAGGACTGTACAGGTTCGGGCCCCACACTTCAAGAACGATGTGGACAGTTTGGAAACAGGCCAGAGCAGAGTAAGAAAAATGACTAGGGGCCTGGGAAGAATGGTGTCTAAAGAAAGGCTGAAAGAGATAGGGTTATTTAATCAGGAGAAGAGAAGGCAAAAGGGGGACTTGATAACAGTCTTCAGATACCTGAAGGGCAGTTACAGAGAGGGTGGAAACAGGCTTTTCTCAGTGGCCATAGAGGACAAGAGTAGGAGCAGTGCCCTCAAGCTACAAGCAGGGGAAATTTAGGTTAGATATTTGGAGGAACTTTCTGCCTATGAGAGTGGTCAAACGTTGGAACAGGCTGCCAAGAGAAGTTGTGGCCTCTTTGTCTTCGGTGGTTAGACAGACACTAGGCTTGAGTGGTTTAACCAGCAATGATCCTGCCTTGAGCAGGAGGCTGGACTTGTGAGCCAACCCTACTTTCCTATGATCCTACAGTCCTCAGTTGCCGGTGATTCAGCAGCCGGAAGGAAGCTCACCGCACCTGCTAAAACTGGGGACTTTGTGGCTAATCCTAAGAAGTTGTACAAAATGTATTGTTAAAGGAATCATCTGTACTCTGTGTGTGTATTTGCTTATAAGCAGAAAACACAGATTCTTTTGTTTAAGAATAATGAAAAATACCTATAAGAAAAAACACAGAAATGCTGCTGTACAAGCTGAAGGCATGAATCTCAGTTAGGTATGTTCAGTACAACAGATCACCTTTTACTAGGATTTTCCCTGTTGTATATGCTAGACTTAAAATATTGGTAGATTTCTGGGGATCAAATGACTCAGGGATCTTGACTGGAAATAAAGCCTTCCATCTCTAAGAGCATGGATAAAGGTATAAATTACAGAAATATGCAAAGGGATGAGGACTTACAGCATGTCATTTGTTCTGTGGTACATCTGCTCCTCTTGCCCCTCAGTTACTGAAATCTAAGCTATGGTAAGTAACCCCTTTTTTATTCAAAGCTAAAATTATCACAGTTTAGCTTTCACTGAACTGGTGGTTAGAGTGGGTGCAGGGAGAGTTACTAGTAGGGCTGTGTGGAGCTTCGGTCCCTGATTCGATCTGGCAGAAATTCGGCCTGATTCAGGGACCAAATCTCCAAATCTGAATCGAATTAGAGGACCCTTTAATCTCTCTGAATCAAATTGGAACCCTCCAAATTGATTCAGAGAGATATGGAAAGATTCGGAAATTCGGACATAGACACAGCTTTAAATGTTTTTTCTACATACCTCTAGGTAGCAAGCAAATCTAGCTAGGTTGGTGGCTCTGTGGTGCAATGGGTAGTACGTTGGACCTCTAGAGGATGAAGGGATTCAAAGGCTCTAGGTTCAACCCTTGGCAGAGTTATATTTTCCTCTTGCTGGGGTCACTTGATCCCAGCTGACTTCCCGCCTACAGTGCGGGGGCTGGACCCGATGATCTCATGGGGTCCCTTCTAGCCCCTAATGTCTGTGAAATCAATGGATGCTGGGGTGCATGGAGTGAAGTATTTTTGGGTTTGCCGCCAAGCACGTGGAGGGCCCCCCCACACTCCTGTGGGATGCTCCATGTGCCCCAGCATAGCAGCATTCCCAACCTGCGCTGGTCCCTCAAGGTATGTAGACAAAACATTTAAAGCTGTGTCTGTGTCCAGATTGCTAATTCTCCAAATCAGAATTGAATCTTCAAATTCAGACTTGGCTGAATTGAATCAGGGACAGTGATCTGAATCAATGAATTGAATCACTGTCCCTGATTCAGGCTGAATCTGAATCTGAATTGAATAGGGCCCACTTCACACACCCATAGTTACTAGCAGCTGATGGGAGTCAGACCCTACTCCCTTTTAACTCTCTGTAACATGGTCATTTGTCGGCATTCTGAGTCACATGCCTGAATCAATAGTACTTGGTAGTGCTAGAGAGCTAGTACTTGAAAGCAGTAGTTTTCAAACTTTTTTGTACCAGGACCCACTTGTAAACATCGATGGTCAATCCTGACCCAGTGCCGCTCACTCCCGACCCTCTTCCCCTGCCTCCAACCCTACCAGTGTGTGGGAAAGGGTGTGTGTGGGGCCTGGGGGTCCCCAAGCAGCCCCTTTCAAGCTGGAACTCTGCCAGCCTGCAAGGGAAAAATCACAGTTTCCCATGTTTTTCTCCTTTAAAGGAGAATCCATTTTCAAAGTTGGTTGATCCATTTTTAAAGTTTGTTCATGACCCTTTCATATATTCTAGCGACCAACTTTTGGATCATGGCTCATGGGTTGAAAAATTCTGCTTTAAAGGACAAAATCCTGCTTGCTTTACCCACGTGAAGAATTCTGTTGATTTCATGTGGTTTCAAATTCTGTTGATTTCTGCTCTTGTGTAAATGCTTAGCTGATTGATGACCCGTATGAAGCAATTGTATCTCAGTAAATCTTCTGGTGGGCAAGTGTCCACATCACAGAAACAGTCACCACCATTGATTGTCACCACCATTGCCATCACTGAAGGCAGACTGAAGTGATGTCAAAGACTGAGCACAACATGGGAGCTGAACTACCCACCTGTCTAGCAGTAGCCCATATGACTGAAGCAGTTTGGCAGAGCAGGAGGGGAAGCTTGCTCAGGAACTGCTTGTTCCCAACCTATTCTGTGGATAAGAAAAACATTTGAGTCTTCAGAAATAGCATGTTTAATGAGACTTACAATGAATTCAACTTGCATACCAACTGTTCCTGCATAGACCCACCCTAAAAGCTTTGCTAATTATAGCCAAGGTTAATCAACACTATAGCTCTTAATGAGAGGAGAAAGTTGAGAGAGACTCGTGTAATCTCCATGCCACTTTTATGCACAGAAAGAGGAAAATCAGGTAAATAAGGCAATGTCAGTGGATCGGAGGATGGAGGGAGAAGAGAAAGAAAATAAGAATAGAGAAAAGAAAAGTATTTAGGTGGACATGGCAGTTGGGGAAAAGGCTGCGCCTAATCCATTTAAAAACTGGGCATGGTCAGTAAGAAGCAACAAGCGAAATGTTTGCACGCAGATGTCGTAAGCCTGGACAATAAAACGGAGGGACTAGAACAGTTGGTGCAGGATGTGAAACCAGATATATAGGGAGAGCAGAAATGTGGTGGAATAGGAACCATGACTGAAACACCAGCATTGAAGGATATGCACAGCTCAAGAAAGATGGAAATAAAGGCAAAGATGATGGGATAGAACTGTATGTGAAGAAATAAGAAAGTATAGCATTGATAAACCAGAACCTCTTCAGCTTGAAATCACTTTGGGGAGGATGGTAAGAAAGTTTCCATTGGGACCCTGGAGTTTCATGGATGATAGATCTATTAATGGTTGTTGAACAGAACTATTGGTGATGCTCCCTCTGGCATCTCTAAACCTATAATGATAGGGAGGGTTCAATGTTCGCTCTCTGTAGGGATAGGTGACAAGATACTGGGCTACATGTACCATTGGTCTCACCTAGTATGGCACTTCTATGTTATTAGGGTGCTGAGTCTGCTAGAGACCCCTAGGGTCAGATTTGGGATGAATAGAGAGTAACGGAGCTGGGGTGCATGTGTCCCTTTAAGAAGAAGTCTGAGAGGCAGCCTGCAGGTGGTGGGGGGGGATGATTGGGAACTCACCTGATGGGAGGGGGCTGGGCTTAAGCCCTATAAGCCCTGAGCCTGAGCTGGTCTGGTAGTCCTGCCCTGAGAGCATGAAGTGAGGAGCTCCTGGCAGCAGAGCAGCAGGGCTCCTGAATAGTCTGAGAGGAAGCAACTCTTTAGGCCTGGGAGCAAGGGACTTGTTTGCACAGGCAGGTGGCCTTGAGT